ATTTTAGGTCTCTATGCTTTTGTTTTCTAACAGCACACAAAATACGGTTTTCCCTGTAGTATTCCCCAGTGGATCATGCTGTCTCTAGACAGAGTTACTCCTACTGATGTTCTCACCTACTCGTTCTCTTGACAAGCCATGTAAAATAGATATCCCGGAGCTATTTATCTACCTATGTGCAGTCCTCTGAAATTTATAGGCAAAAAATGCTACAACTGCTACAGTGACCAGACAAAGCCACCATCACAATATTATTATTAGCCCTTTGACCACCCTTCTTTTGATAAACTAATTTTTCACTGAGTACCAAAATCCCAAGCCACAGCTTAGGAACATGAATGGAGACATTTTTCTTTCATCTCTTAAGCCACTGTCAGAAAGATATAAGAAACCTCCTCATTTTTATTTACACTGGGTTTTAATTTTTAGTGACCAAAGCATACAACTGAACAACAACAACAAAAAAAAGAGGGGCATATAGAAATCTAGGAAAATGTCTGCTCTTCTTTTAATAAAGAAATCTAAGAGGGAAAGAATATGTCTGAGGAAAGGTTTATACCATACTTCATTTGAAAATAAAAAACCTGGCATGCTCACAAAAATAAAGAACACCCTATAAAGGAGAGAGGGAGACATGCTTGCCCAAAATTTCAGATTTTTAAACGTCTGGCAAAAGCAAAGGAGACACAGTGCACAAATACCAGGAAAATTCATGCAGCAAAATGAAATTTCCTAAGAACTGGAATAACTTCAGTGAGAGATGCCAAGAACACAGAAAAGAGAAAGAGAGAGTACCTGTGTACCTCCGACAGAGAGGAATCACTTTCATCAGACCTACAATCAACAGTGGTGGAATTGTGAGGAGAAAGAATAGAGGTATCAGCAAAGTAAAGCCTCCATAAGAGAAGAACAAACAACAGCACGGCCAATTCAGAAGAGCAATGCAAATCCAGACAGTACAGCATTGCTCAGGGTATACCTTAAACCCCTGAGAATGCAAGGCAGGGGGAAGAAATTATAATCTGAAATTAGCACTCTCAGCAGTAAGTTACACTGGTAGACTGTCTCAGCCCAAGAAGCTGAGTAACACCAGCTGAGCCATTTTTTATTTCCCCAACATGTTCTTACAGAAGTAAAGGCAATAAAGGAAAAGACGGATGCATAATTTATCCTCCATAACATAGTGCTTGTTGACAATATCAAAAGGAAAAAGTTCTGAACTTCAATGCCTGTTAAGTGCAGAAGAAACATGTAAAATGTTAACCATGAAAATATTAAACATATTGATAGCCCACTGAAACAAGAAGAGCAATTTGCAAACAATCCGAAGTTCAAATTCCTTCATCTCTCATTTTCAAAAACATTTAAAAATAAAAACCAAGAAAACACACAAGAAAAGATCCCGCCCAGACATGACTTGCACTATGTCTTAAGACGTCCTTCATTTTCAACTCAAACAGATTCAGCAGTTTCCACTTGACTTCAAAGTCAGTCCAGAAAAAATGAAAAGGGTTAGGTGGGAGTTAGCAGTAAGAGAAAGGTAACATAGCCGAGATAAAGAAGTTATAAGCACAGTTAACCTACTGAAAGCCTTGCACTTGGTATGTGGTGACTCTGCAGACCACTGAAAAAAGAAGCTTTGTAAAAAACGATAGTGCAAACAGACAAGAGCAATTTCTGTTCTTGCTACAGTCAGCACTAGAGGTTTAGTGTAAGTTTGAGTTGCAGCTCATAAGGGCTGCATGGCACTACTGTCAATACTGAAACCTGCACTAAAGATTCTGCTTAAGTCAAGTCCACTGCAATTTGGAGTGAGGCTCCTACAGAAACAGATGTGCCAGGAAACTGAGCTCTACTTCCTCTAAACAAGGTATGAAGATATCTGCTCCTCCAGATCACCTCCCAAAGTCAGTCTGTTCAATAATTTGGATAACTTCTGAACAACTATGTTCTAGCCATTTCAACATCCTATCCTCTGGGTGCTTGTGACCACACTCAGAACAACACTGGAGTAACCGAATAACTGTCAAAAGTACCATTTCCTAAATCGTCAGGTAAATCCTACTTTCAAGTGTAAACACACACACAAATACACATACGTCTAAGAATTCTACTGTTCTTGTCTATTTTGGGTTTAAAACTATGAATACCAGACATAGCCTAGAAAACAGGAAACAAGGTTCATTTTTTGGAAATTGCTTTTCTTGAATTTTTACAATGGTTCCACGGAAGTTTAAAATGTTTTCTTTTTAAATGTTTCTACATGAAAACACGAGAAACGTCTCCTCCTGCCTTGCAGGAGAAGGGCAAAATATCTATCAGATACTACACTGAGTGCACTTTGCAATTCCCTGGTTTTCTTTTTAAATGTTTCTACATGAAAACACGAGAAACGTCTCCTCCTGCCTTGCAGGAGAAGGGCAAAATATCTATCAGATACTACACTGAGTGCACTTTGCAATTCCCTGGTTTGGGGCCGAGGCTTCCTTTTTTTTTGCTGAACTGATGTGTTTCCCTGAGAAACAGTAAGACGGCTAAAAACATTCATTTCATTACGGGGCCGGCTTGGTGGGGAAGTAGGAGGTGACAGACTAGCCTCTGGGGCTCCAGAATCTGAGCTACAAGAAAAAAAGAACATCCTCTTTAACAGGTTATGAGTGGTTAGAGAAGTTAAATGCAACATGCCTTAAATGTTAGATGCTCTTTACTTAAGCAAATAAAATTATAATGCTGGCTACAGATGTTTCCCAACAAAGGTAATAAATTCCAGACTACAAACTGCTAAAGAGTGCAAGGTGGCACAATGTTCAAAGTTTAGCATGCTAACAGTGAAAGCTCCAGGCTGAAAACATTCTTATAAAAAAAAAATCTTATAAAGCTGCAGTTTCTTAGCAAAACTGATGGCTTTCATTTAAAAAAAAAAAAAAAAAGTAATTTGCAAATACTGCAAAAGATGTTTTCTCAGGGCTCTGCTCCTGAGTTATTTTGTACAGAAAAATACTCTGAAAGAAAAAACACACATACAGAAGTTGAGTTGAATAATTTCACTGCCAGCAATAAAAACTGTTCTAGAATTAAACAGAAAAAATGCAGATTTATTTTTTCAAGAAAATAGACCCAAGGTTTAAATTATTTCAGAGAAAATAAATTTAAAAGAATCTTACAGTTTTTGTTCTTTTGCCTTTGTCTTTTCCGCTGTTTTCTCATATGCTTTTCTCTTTGTTAAAGGTGAAGGCTCAGGTATCTTCTTTTCTGACAGAGATGCCTGTCTAGAACTAAAGCAAGAGGAATCGTTATCTTACTTGAAGGCCCTTTACAAACCTGCTTTTCTTACATTAGCTGTCATCTGTGCACTCAGGTTTCTCATTTCAGAATGTCCTTAATCTATTATGGTCTCTCTTGAATCTGCAGACTCCAAATTTGTTCTCACATTTTAATATAAAAAGACACCAAGTTGAACAACTTTCCTGGTTCATCAACATATGAAAAGTGAGATACTGAATATGCAAAGGAGATCTACTAATTCAATAATAAGAGACTGACTAAAAGAAATACAGCAGACTATGCATCTCAAATTAAGACCACAGAGAAGATGGAAGGTCAGACTTAAAATTTCAGATTTCACAACTTTCATCTACATAGACCGCTTACAGACATGAAAAACAGAGAAATCATGATGACCCTTACATATGAATTAAACTTTGCATTAGCATATTCATGTTTCAATATCAAACTCAAAATTATGAAGAAAACACGTGTCCCATTGACAGCCTATTAAAACACTGCTTCTCTTTGTTCCTTCTTATCTTCTTCCCTACTTTCCATTCCTCCTTTGTCTTTCTAGTTCTTGCTCTGAAATGATTCCAGTTCACAGTCACTGTGGTCTTTCCCCCAACCTTTTACTCCCCATTAAAAACAGGGAAAAGATCAAGAGTGCAATACACCCAAATGTCGTCATTTCACCACAGTCAGGGGAAACAAAAACAAAAACGTAATCCGGATGGTCTCCACTCTTCTGAACTCTCATTTGTCACTAGCTGGGCAATCAGAAATGCAACATGTACTCTGATTTATCCTTTTTTCCCTATGCATTTAGAAGTTGTTTCTATGAATATACAAACCAGAAACACTAAGAGAGAAAGCAGATTCCAAAAGCGCTTTTGTGCCACACTTCACTAAGCAGGCAAAGTTCAGCTGGCAGGCCACCTGCCTGACACTCTGCCTAGCATCTGGAATCTGGGCTCTACAGGCTCTGGATCTACATAACTGCAACTTGTCTACATGAGAAAAGCTGCACCAGTTTCCACTGAGAGGAAGTCTGTGCTCATATAAAATCCATCTGGGGACTGGCACGCAGAATAACCTGATTTACCAAGGAGAGCAGACTCGCAGACTTACCAATGAGCAGCTACTTGACTGGAGTAGGTGAGACTGTCTCAAGCGATCATATGCACACTGAACAAAGCTCTACTTGGAAAGTGAAGGTTCTACCTGTAGGACCTAGTGCCAAGAGATGAGTGCAGACCCCAGAGTCCCCCTAGGGTCTTCAAGGGACAGGAAAAGGAGGACAAGTGATAACGTGTCTGTTTTTGCACAGAAGTCTAGCAGTTAAAGTACACAAAAAGAAGGGGAAGGTGGGTTCGGTTCCCTCCTCAAGAAGGAGGCAAATCCTGTGATCAGCCTGCTAGCTAGATCTTTCAGTAAGGATAACAAACTTCAGTTGTAGTCTCCACTGCCATGGCTGCTCATGCATCTGCTATGCAGCTACTAGATTATATAAACCACACTATGGAGTTGAAATCCCCCATGAGGACCAGGGCTTGTGAACGAGAACCTGCTCTTATCTGCTTATAGAGGGCTGAAGACAGCTGGCACAAGACCTGCAGGAGACCATTCTACTCCAAAGAGGCTGTTGTAGATGAGCTGAGCATGTCAAAGGACAAGGGCACTAGCCACCTTCGTAAACAGAATTCCAACCAAACCGTTGCCCATGTGCATTTAGGTGCCCCTCTGATTCACCACAGATCTGACAAAACTGAGGTGTTTCCAGAGTAGAGCAGTTTGTACATGTGCAGATGCCCAAATCTGCACCTAAGCATATAATCAATCTCTGTTGCTTCCAGAGAGTGCATGTTTTGGATCAGTGTTACTGCTTCTACATCCCTGAATACCACAATCTGCTCCAGAAGAATGTATTTTATTACAAGAGATATAATGGAACTATAAGCCCATATAGGAAGGACAGACGGCTCACAAAGACAACCTTTCTTCAACAGTGACCAGTGACAAGCAAAAAATAGCAATACTGCATAAAGTATACTGAGTTCTAGTTTTGGAAAAGCATCTCAATTACAGTGAGAAAGTCACTTCAGACTGATTGTGGGAATTTCTGATCTTCTTTGCTAAAATATGGTCAATAACAAAGCAAAATATATACGAGACCTACTGCTGATTGAATTGATTTACTGACAGCATGTAACTCTAACAATCACAGAACACAGTTTTGGTTTGCCTTGTTGCTGGCTCACTTTCATAAAGGGATACGTTCTAGAAGATGGAATGAGGCAAAAGTTGGTATTACCTGAGTCTTGGATGTCAGGTCATAACACTTGATGTTTTAAATCTTGAAGCTTCAAAAGTCTCTAGTGATCTTACACTAACTGTTGAAACAAGTGGGTTTCTCCACCTATCCTCCCCCAAAAGCATCCTTGCCAAGCAGATTCTACTTGTAAAACGCACTGAAGCCATCAGCATGGGTTAATAATTGCTGTCAGCAGTGTTTTACTGTTCATGGTTGCTACTTCAAGCACATGCTAGAAATACATAGTAAAAATAAAACAAATTGGAAATGTACCTTAGACAGAGACTGATGTAAAAATATTATAGAAATAGGACACAGACAGTGAAAGATTCATAATTCCACAGTCTTTAGCATGAAGACTATGGGAGAGTTTTTCCATATCACTGAATGCAGCAAGTGCATTCAGTTTACACTTAAGTTTGTGCAATATAGGAGAAAGTACCTAAAAAGCCAAGAAAAGGGTCTCTAGCAGTGAACGGCTAATAACAAACAGTGATGTTGGTAGATATAAAAAGGACAGCAAGAGCAAGTGAGGGGAGAAGGGGGGAAAAGCGCATGTGAGAGACCTGCTGGCTCCAAAGTAAAAAGGTGAGAATAACATTTTTAGATCTATTTGGCATCAAGTAATACTTTCAATTAGTAAAACTGTCCTGCAGGTAAGTGCGACCTGTAAATAGAAAGGATTTTTGAGGATTCGTAATATCCAACGTGTTTCTTTCAACTTTACACTGGCGTACTCTATAATTGTATAGATTTCTTAATTTTGAGCACGGTTCGCACAGGATGACTCACAAAAAGATTTTACTTCATAGTTAGGACTGTATACAGATGCTATATAAAGTTTTTGGGTTGCATTTTAGAGTGGTTTTTGGCTTTTTTCTCTCTCTGCTGTTCTAAGCAGAGCTGCACTACCTCTGCAGAATGTGCCTTTCCCATAGCACTAATAAACTGAAGTACCCAAGGTACCAGATGGGTTTTTCTCACTACTTAAAAGCAAGACTACAATAATCTTACTATGACAAAGCAACTTAACAGAACTTATATCTTCAGTAAGAAACACGCCACTTACTAGAGTGCATTTATACTTTGTAGAGTGGTGATACAGAAAAGAAGGAGAAGCTTTGTCAGTATTATTTAGTGAGCTTTAAATATCTCAACCTTCTCTGTTAAGTTAAAATAACAGATTACAAGAAATTGGCAACATGCACTTTTTAAAAGCAAAGCACAATTAGTACAGCATGGCCAAACTTACATGCTGCCTATCTTAGAAGGTAAGCCAGATGGTGGGGGAACAAACTCTCTGTCCCTAGCAGAAGAATCATTTGTGTCAGCAGCCATCCCACTTTCTTGGGTTTCTGCAACTGACGCAAGAGGGCCAGCCAAAGTGGAGTCTGCAGCATTGATGTCAGAGACCAAATCGCTGCTGTCTGCATATAGCAATTCCATCTGGGTAGTGGTCCTCCGGCGGGCCTGGAGACAAATGAAAACCAAGTTGTGACTTAAACATTTTGTGGTGTGTATCAAAAGTGCTACATCTAAGCTTATCATTAGCTGGTAATTAGCATACCCTTCAATTCACGTGGCAACTACCTTTGGAAACTAAATCAAGAAGCTCACCTCTACTCTTTCAGTAGTAGAATGAGCAAAGACTACTTTCAGAGTAGGTAACAATTTCAGAGGAGGCAAGTCAAATTCAACAGCGTAAGACACTGATTTGACAACTGGTTTCCAAGGATATCCTTTGAACCAGCTACAAGAGTCTCCCATATTGTCCTAAGGTTTATCCAAATGAAATGTTATAAAGCAGAGAGGAATAAATCAGAGTGTGAATTTAAATAGCTACAATTATATTGGGATGACTGATGCTTCTTCTGATACAGTAAGTCTGCTTCTTACTTAGTCTATGTCCCTTCAAAAGTAGTTTCAGCCAACAAGAATTAAGCTTCGCTCAGCACTTTAACAACTTGAAAACAGAAAAACTGAGAAAGGAGTCAAGCTTTGTGCAACACAGTCATTCTTAAAAAACTGATCGCACATGTTAGGTGTGACGATACTGTGAAATTGAAATCTATGCCTCGGGAAAAGAAAGGCCACTGGGAAGACAGAAGTCCAGTCTGAACAGAGCCATTACAAAAATGACATGTTTATTTTATGCCAACATTTTCAGACCAAACTCACTCAGTTTACCTGCCCAAAGAGCTGCACAGTAATGAACGCTACCAATAATGCGACGGTCAACCTAGATACATTCCTCCAAAGCCAACTCCATTTAGAAGAATAGAGGCTAAGCTTCTATTTATTTTACAAACTTGGTTTATTCTCCTGTGAGCACAGAAGTAAAATGGCAGTCAGTGCGCACATTTCCAGTTCCCACTGCCATTAATATTAAACTGCAGTCAGCCTAGATATATTCCTGCAATGTCAACTGTAATTAAGAGCCTGGAGGTCAAATTGCAAACAATAAGCACGTTCACAGTTCTCACTGGCATTAACATTGAAACTAACAGACACTAAATTGCAGATCCACACTAGTTTGGAGTGCTTGTAACTGGAGGAACATATCTCTTTCTGAAACTGTAAAAATTCAACCATAAAAATATTGAAAAAGTACACTTTTATAACTGCTTCTCAGAGAGGAGTATCAGACAAAAGCATATTACATGTAAATCACATCAACAGTACATTAGTTAACCTTCTGCATGTCTTCATTCATTAATGTCTCTATAGCAAAGCAAAGCAAAGGCATTACCCAGAAGGTGTCAATAAACTATGAATTATTACTATCATCATCATTGTACAGCCTACCTTGCTCTTGGGTTTGACTTCACCACAAAGCTTCAAAAGATCTGAAGACAATGAACTAAAAGAAAAATTCCATCACAGTTAGAAAGAAAATAGTCGCATTTTTGCAGAATGTGTATTGTTATTTGATTCTTCTTTCTACTTAAATGGTGGGCAAAGTAGAACAAAACAATGTCAGAGGTATCTTCTTATGAATATGTGATGCATTACAAAAAGAGGAAATTACAGTGATTTTTCTTAAACCAGATTCAGTTACTGGTTAACAAAGACTGCTCACCTTCCTTCTGTTCCAGGACTATGCAATGGAGCATCCTCATCAGTACTATCTTCCAAATTTTCTAGAAAATTTTCAAAAGAATAACGTTAGTCTGTCCATATACAACAGGATGTGCAGGTTTTCAGTGCTATACAAAACAGCTCAGACAATGCTGAAGGCAGAAGAACAGCATACGAAAGGCAGGGCTTTTCAAAATATCTTGACTATTTGCTAGCTGGTTCCCATTGAATTTTCTTGGTATCTCTAAGTTTCTTGCATACAATCTAAATAAATCATACACCTAGGCATATGGTGCCAAATGTGGTCCTCTATTGTAGCAGAGCAACAGAGATGACATAAAACCAGAAATAAAGTCTAGAAGGAAATCTGGAAGAAAGAAGATAAAGCAAAGGAAATTAACTGCAAGACATGTAATGAGACAGTGTGCAAATCAAAGGACCATAAGGACGTCTCTTCCTCCTCTTTTTTTTGTAATCTTTTTGCTCTAAGACAGAATTAGCCTGGTTATAAGGAAAAAAACCAATTGTTTTTAACTAGGTAGAGAGCTGCAGCTTAGGCTTAGGCTCAGCTTATATAGAATGGCACCATCTGGACTGACAAGGAGCAAGCACTTCATTAGTATATAAGCGTTTAGGTTTCAAAACAGGATGATGCCACCATTTAATACTTTAGAATGGCTTCCAAAAAGAGATTAATTGTATTGAAGTTAATTATAAAATGAAGCATTTCAGTAGAAGTGCTCCTGAAGTCGTATGGGTACACAAGCCTGTTCACAAAAAAACAAAATCAGCATGCATGTCACGCACTAACACTGCCGAACATCAGATGAACATGTCTGCATGCAAACGGTGCTGAAAACTAAACTGAGACAACCAGTTCAGGGCATATGTACAACCAATCCCAAAGCATCGGGAAACCAAGTCCCCTAACTTGCATATTAGTCTAATAATTCATTCTAAGCATAGTTTAAAGACATAGGTAATACATTACTGCAAGCAAAGTCCCTTATTTTTGAACATACTAATAAAATTCCATTACACCTCCTCTTTATTACTAGGGACACTTGAAGTTTATTTGCTTAATTTCTGTCAGAAAGCAGATACCATTTTTAATGCATAGAACCAATATATTTGGTACTCATATTAAAATAGGTTTGTCCATGTATATGATTTAAGTGCAAGTTCATGCTTTGGAGAAAGGGAGAAAAGATACGTAGTTTCCAGTTGAATTCTGAGAAGGAATGAAGAAAAGGAAAATGCTGCCTGTGTATACTACGTCTAAAAATGTTTCCTGAAAAATTCAAAACCATACATCAATCTAACACCAACAATGCATTTCGGAGGTACTCAACTGCTGCCTTAGTTGTAACAATGTAACCTTAACTACTAGAAATACAACAATATTTTGAAGAAAGCAGGGTCACAGGAATACCACTCTGAACTTTCTTTTTTGTTCCATCCTGGATTTTCTGTACATGCTATTATTCTACATCTTCTGCAGAAGAGGGGATATGGAGTATTGCTCCTTCAAGGAAGGCACAAAACCAGCATCAATAACAGAAATGCATTTTTTTTTAATATAAGATTCCTATTAGGGTGATGTTACTTCAACCCCTCTCATGAAGAACCAGATCAGCTTTTGCAGGCAACAAAGCAGAAAGTGTGGGATAGCCACAAGAGATGAGATTTTATTTGTAGGCTCACACTTATGATATTCTTCTTCAGTCTGTCTGCAATTCAGCACAGGAAGACTGCAGGAAGCCCGCAGGTAGAAACCAGCATACAGAACCAACAAAAAGGAATGCATAGAGGCAGAAGAGCAAGATCCTGCAAGAAGTCCTGAGCAAGAAGACATGAAAGGAGCGATACAGTTAGTAAAGGCAGTACTGCTTGCGAGGAGCAGCAGAGATGACTGCTAATAAACCAGTGACTGAAGAACAGTGGAGAGCTTTTCTGATGTCTTGTCCTCATCCTCATGCAGAGGCAACTGGACAGTACCAGTGCAATGCAGTACACCAGCACAGTGACCAGCCCTCTCAAGATCTGCACATACATGGCTGTGAGTCACATCCATGAACATCCAGATGTCCCAGGTAGGAGGGAAAAGCAGCTCCCACAATTCTTCAGAAAGGAATCGCTCCAGTGACACTTCCAAGACTCAATTCTGTGGTCACGTTAACTCTTTTTTCTGCTCTAACAAGAGCAGATGGGACAGTGTGGATGAACTAGATGCCATTCACATGAGGTAGGTGTGCATTTAAAACCCACTCCAAGGGTCAAAACCTGAGCCTGTGATGTGCTTTGCTGCAGACTGAACTCTTTTCTTAAGTCTGTTCTTGAATGCAAGTGCATATGACACTATGCAGGCTACACTAGGGAATGCCCAGAGTTCTTCAAGCCAAGTATGTTCAAATGGCTAAAAACTTTTGAAGATATCAGAGTAGGCATCAAGGGAGTGGTTCACAAGAAGCTGGTGCCAAACACTGTGGAGATACAATCCCTGTGCTTGGGATGGGGCTAGGTAGGTATTGCCACTGAGCTGCCAGGCAGCCTGGTGAAACTGGCCTCGGGACCTGCTGCCACCCACACTTCCACCCCTGGGAATGGTGGCAGGTCATCAGGGAGCCCCTGCAGACCAGCTGGCAGCCCCAGCCTCAAAGCCTCACTGCAGCAGTGTCTGAACTCCTTGCAGTTCAGAAGGTTTAGCCACTAGCGATCTACATCTCTGACTGAGATTAGTATGGCATACTCGGTCAAAATACACCCACAGTGAAGTTTTCTTCCTTTAAAGTGTTAACATAGTCCTGAGTGGCTTAGGTACTTTAAAAGCCTCAGCTTATGCATGCAGAGTGTTAAAAAGCTTCTTTAGTGAGATGTACTCTACAAAAATTGTGATGATAGAGCTACTGTTTCAATGCATCCAACAAGTGTCTTTTCACTGCTCCAGATGCTGACAATAAGTAAAAGCCTGTCCAAAGCTAAAGAAAATGCAATGCTAACTTCCTGACTGGGGAAGCATTGCTCTCACTCCAACAAGGATGAACACACACACATGCACATTAAGGGTCTATTTTAGATACACTATGGTATTAATAACCACTGAGGTTCCTGAATAAATACTGGCTGTATGCAGCAAGATGCCCTGACACAGATCTTCAGGTGTCACCTCTCAGGAAGCTGGCAAATTCTCACCAGTTTGCTCCAGATGATGATCTATACACTTTCAGGCAGTCTTGTGCTTTGGAAATGTTTCAGATGCCTAAGCAAACTAGCACAGGACAGCATCATGAGATCAGAAGTAACATTAGACAATACAAAAGGAATTGTTTCTGACATTAAAAGTATTTTTTTCAAGTTCGAGACATAGCCAATTTTGTGGCTAAGAGCAAAGCTGGGGGAGAAAAGCATAATTTATTTGGGAATCATTGAAAAGCAACAACAAAGACCGCTCTCCTCAAAATCAGCAAAGTCAGTAACCAAACCCAATTGAACAAGTGAGATTTAATCTGCATTCTGTAAAATATTTACATTACAAAATAAGCTATCTGCAAAAGTTTAAAATGACCTGCATGTTAAAAACTACATTTTTGAGGCCTAAAAAGATAGTCAGAATTTGTCACAACTACAGCAGTAGTATATAATGAAATAGCTTTATGCAGTCTGAACATACATATAGGTTCATAAGCAGCATGACATAAATTTGACATACAGCTCTGCTTCCTGTGTTCACCGATCTGACAAATCTAACACAAGGGCTATGGGTGGTTTCAGAAGGGAAGAAATGCTCTGTAAGCTCATGATAATGAGTACATTTACAGAATAGTTCATGCAAACTTCACAAACTCACAAATTCTAAGATGCAACAGTTAGTGAACATGAATGAATTAGTAACTCATGCAGCTGTACAGTACATGGAAAGCTAAACATACTTACCCAATGGTATGCTATCTAGGTCTGTGTAAATAACAGCAACAAGGAAACAAAAGCAACACTCCAATCAAAACATATCCATTTATAAAAAGAAATAAAACAAAAGTACCCAAATGTATTCTACATTTTTCTTAATATCATCTCATCAGAAGTAGAATAGATGCCGTAACAGACATACAACTTTCAAAATCACTAATATATGATGATTGAACAGGATTGCCTATTCAGAATTTTCTATTCAGAAGTTAAAATCATACCAAATTGTAAATACAGTCTTTTGTAAAGAACAAGCAGATTATTTGAATTTTAAAAGTCTCAGTAATAAAAAACTTCTTTGTTTCCTACATTTCATTGCTGAGGGGATATATTTAAAAATTACATACATGCACATCAATTGTGAAATAGAATTTAAGATGTTAAAATACAGCATCTATTCAGAAAAGAAATAGCCTAGAATGCCCAGTACAGCATGCATGAAAGGTAAACATGACATGCATCTGACTATTTAGAATACAAGATGACAAAGTTACCTTGCAAAGCATGACCCAGCAAAGCATCGAGTTCAGGATTTAACTCAGCTTTTTCTTTTAGCATATGAAATAGCAGTTGGTTTTGAGTAGCGCTAGTAATTTCTGTCTGCTTAAGACGTCCCTCAAGAACTTTAATCTGAGCTTCTTTCTGAGCTGCTTGGAGACCCTAGGAGAGAGAAAGAAAGAAAAATATGACAAATGCTTTACCCCAACTCTTCTGTTACAAAATGAGAATAGCCAGAACTTTTTACGGACACAATGTGTATATTGTAACTGTCCGCTTGCATCCTAAGGATAAAGTGCCAACTAAAGGTCTTTTTTTAAGCATTTATTTAACTTGTGTTCCTCAGACTCCACCTTGCAAATATGTATCTGGTGGCCAGGTTGAATGCAACTCCTAAGTACAATTCATAGATCCTTTGAACTTATTTAAGAGTGGCAAGCATCTGGAAAATCAACACCTCCACTTGTCACAAATAAGTACTTTAAAAAAAAAATAATCACCTATAATACTCTTAACAAAAACAGAAAAATATAAGCATCAATATATTTTAAAGGCTCCATATTTTCAAGGAAGTGGCTGAGCAAATAAAAAAAAATTTAAAAAAAGAAGATACTGAACATTCTGGAGCTGGTTGAAAAATACAGGACATTGTTTGTTTGATTATGAAAAGCTAGTGCTCTTCTAAGAGCAACATGAGGTAATTAATTAGTGAGGAAGGCTCTTTTGGGGGTTGAAAAACAGGCAACAGATTGAAGGGGACAATGGATTTCAAGGGCCTTCACACTGAGAACCAGCACGACTCAGGAGCATTGACCAGCTTTGTTTAGTCTTACTTTTCACAGGTATAAATTCACATTAGTTAGTCTTTATTTCAGCACAGCGCTGCTCCTGATACATGGCATAGTTCTCACACATACATATTTCACTTAATGCATTACCTTATTGATACCCATCGTGAGGAAGTGATCAAGCAAATACCGAGCCTCTGTCAGAGTGCAAGCATTAATCACTGCTGTTACATCCAAGGTCTCCCCTTCTTCCTATGTGTGCAACAACAAAAACAGTTAGATGGTGAAAAATGCATCTTCAATTTTTTAATTTTTTTTGTTAATTCATTACAGTAATCATAGAAAACAGAAACAGAGAAGATGCTGCAGTTTATCCCCTTGGTACCTCTAAACCATGCCTGACAGATTTTTTTTCCCCAAACTATCCCCACAGTACAGACTCTGCAGCCTTCCCAGTCTCTTCCAGTGCTTCAGCCCCTTTCCTATTAGAAAGCTCTTAACCTCTAGCTCAGACCCCTTCTTTTTACAAACTAAGCACTATACACAGTGGATGCAGAAATGAGTGCATTTCTTCACTCTTTGCAGACTTCATGCATTTGAAGACTTCTCCTCCTAGTCTTATCCTCATTTTTCTTCCGATTCTTCTGTCAGAATTAAGCACTTTGGTGCCCTTAAGAATTATTAAGGCTTTTGTGTTCGCTACTTCTTTACTGGTGAAGTCCTGTAACCTTGCACCATGCTGTCAAAAAGTCAAGAAAACCTGATGGGAGTCAAATAGTAAAAGCTGCTGGTGATGTAACATGCATTAAAGCAAAGATTGGCCTAAGGTGGGAGAGGAAGAACTCAAGCACTGCCATATAAAAATGCTGGTAAGGATTACACTTCAGACTTGGTGATATCATGTGCCAAGAGACCTAGGAGACTGTATGTGGTGTCTTCTTCCTGCTAGATCATGTAAGGTATGATGGTCATTCTAAGAGTTCTCACATTTGGACTGCACTCCTTTTGGTAATATTCATATTTCTACATCAATCGTAACAGAAAATTTCACTTCACTAAATTACTATTTGAAAAGTCAACCCTAAAGAAGCCTTGGCCTGAAAAGGCTTTTTAGTTATAGAAAGCCACTGTTCCATAATTTAAAATATACTCAAATGCAATATAAAGAATTTATATAAATTCTTACATATGAGAATACTTCAGTATATTTAAAAGTATCCAAAAACAACATGAGGGTGTGGAAGCATATGAACAGCTGCAGGATGATGATACAAGCTGTTAGCCTTCAGTCTCAAGAACTATATTAATTTAGTGCCAGCAGAATAGAAAGCACCAGCTTTGACTCTTAAATGCCTTGTAATCTTAACTGGCATTACACTATTGACGCTAAAAGACAAATCTGAAAGTTCAGTTGTGTAAACACTCTTCATTTCAGACTTCAGTCAGTTTTTCACCAATTCTCACTTCCTGTTTCAATAATTATACAGCCAAAACAAAATTCATTTCTAAATGAGAACATTTTCCAGGCTAACACAGTTGTTGCTTCTTTTCTCTATTTCACCATTTTTACATTAATACTTGACCTACCTTTGCTTCTTCCATTTGCATAATGTTTGCTTGGCAGTCAGAAATGCTGTCGTTAATGTAGTCTATATTTGCAGTTAGTGATTCCATCTCTTCATTTATGTTTTGGACATTTCTATCTGTTTCACTGCCACCCCCATCCTTGATGAGCTTCTCTCTTTTCTTTGAAAGCTTTTCTCTTCTTTTTGTAAGTTCTTCACGTTGCTATTTTCCCCAAAGACATATTACATAAAAAAGAATTAGTAAACACTTAGGGCATCTAAGTGCCTTTTTATTTTGTTTTCCTTTCATTGTTATACGTTAAATAACATCATGATTTCTACAGGGAGAAGTTATACAGGTGAATATATTAATATATTTGTACATGATTCCATTAGTGTGCTTTTTATTTCTTACCAAGCACAGCAATCCCATGGTCCAAATGCTTACTGGATTTGTTTAAAGCTTCTTCATTGACTTCAATGTATTCCAACCACTATGCCCATGTCACCATCACAGCAACTGACTTACAGCAAATGTAAATGCACTGCTCTCTCTTTATTTAATATGACTAAACAGCCAACAACATGCAGCAGATCACTCACCGTAAGTAACCTGTTCATATCTGCCTCCATATTGGAAATGGTCATCCTCTGCATGATGATATCAGTCACTCTGCGTTCAAGTAACTGCCACTTCATCCTGGCAGCCTTTGAGGAGTAAACTCTACTTGTCACCACTTTCCGCTGATATTTCTTTCTGTGATAAATTCAAGAGAAACATTATAGTTAAGTTTAAGTAGTCTAGGTACACATTCGAAGGTGGAAATGATCAGGTCAGAATATTTTTCATGGACAACTTAAAAATTTCTGGCAGAAATTTTTGCAGTTTTTTTATTGCACCAGACAGCTCCCTGCACCCAGTCCTGAACTCCACTGCACTCTACTATATTGTGTTTGGAAAAAGGTATCAAGTACTGTGGCCCCTTGTACGGCGTACCACTGAAATCAAATGCCAGCTAAGAGTTGCTCCTGATTTAACAAGGGGATCTGCTTCAAACCACAGTGGAAGATCACCCCTAAATCCAATACATTACATTGTGTTTTCCAACAAGTTCTTCTTTATACTTAAGAACACCACAGGCATGGGACCACCAAGGGCATTTCTCTTTAAAAGCAGATTAACTGGAATTTGAAATTTTGGCATTTCTTAATGTGACTTGTTCTTTGATTCTTTTATATTATTCCACACTGTCTTAAACCCATGAAACCCGCATTTAACAATGGTAAAATGCCCATTTAATGAGCATTATATGACAGCAGTTTAAAAAATAACAACTACTGCAATATGTATCATTACAAGATTATCTGCTAGGAAGTCCATGCAAGTTTCAGTCCTCTTAAGAGAGCACTAAACAGTTTTAATCCTTACCCTGTTCCATTTGTTGCAGTTACAGATAATGCTTGAACCCTTGCAACAGGAATTCTCATTTTCTGTTGTGCTGCTGTTCTTGAACCATCATGCTCGACTGATGAGCTAGAACTTGTTTCTTGTATAGGATGCTCAGGCAGGCTCAGCTTTCGACTTACTTTTCCTGCCACTTTATCAGACAGAGGCCTTACTTGCCGACGAAGGGCTGTAACCTGAAACAGTGTGCGGAGACATGATTGCCTCTCCCCAAAACTGCATTCAAAGTTACAACAATACAATATCATTCTGTTTTCAAAGATGAATTACTATTTTAGCACAATACCTCTTCAGTCTTGCGACGTAAGATAACTTCTTGATTTCTTTTCTGAGCTTCCAGAAGCTTCAGCTGATGCTGTTAAAAAAAATAAAAGCAGCACATATTTTTTTCCATTATCTGCCAGAAGGACTGTATTGTATAGAAAAGAAAAAAAAAAGACCTTTACACATTAATACAAGTTTGCAAAGCTGTTGTGACATGAAGCGGTCGAGTCATAACTGCTTCTTGCACTTTCTAATGCAGAATCATGAGATGCAACCCAGAGCCCTGAGGGAACTGGCTGATGAAGTTGCCAAGCCACTCTCCATCATATCTGAAAAGTCATGGCAGTCAGGTGAAGTCCCTAGTGACTGGAAGAAGGGAAACATCACACCCATTTTTAAGAAGAGTAGAAAGGAGGACCCTGGGAACTACCGACCTGTCAGCTCCAGCTCTGTGCCTGGGAGGATCATGGAACAGATCCTCCTAGAAGCTATGCTGAGGCGCATGGAGGACAGGGAGGTAATTCGAGACAGCCAACATGGCCTTACTAGGGGCAAGTCCTGCCTGATCAACCATTGTAGAAAGTCACTAGGAGTGACTACATCAGTGGAAAAGGGAAGAGCAATGGATGTCATCTACCTGGACTTCTGCAAGGCCTTTGACACGGTCCCCCACAACATCCTTCTCTAAGTTGGAAAGATACAGATTTTATGGGTGGACTGTTCAGTGGATAAGGAATTGGCTGGATGGTCACATCCAGAGGGTAGTGGTCAATGGCTCAATGTCCAGGTGGAGATGGGTGACAAGTGGTGTCCCTCAGGGGTCCGTACTGGGTCCAGTGCTGTTTAATATCTTCATCAATGATATAGACAGTGGGATCAAGGATATCCTCAGCAAGTTTGCAGATGACACCAAGCTGACTGGTGCAGTCAACATGCCAGAGGGACATGATGTCATCCAGAGGGAGCTGGACAAGCTGGAGAAGTGGGCCCATATGAAACTCATGAGGTTCAACAAGGCCAAGTACAAGGTCCTACACCTGGATAGACGCAGTCCTCATTATCACTACAGGCTGGGGGATGATGCAAGAGAGCAGCCCTGCAGAAAAGGACTTGAGGGTACTGGTGGACAAAAAGCTGGACATAAGTTGGCATGCGCTTGCAGCCCAGAAGGCCAACCACATCTTGGGCTGCATCAAAGGAAGAGTGGCCAGCAGATCGAGGGAGGTGATTCTGCTCCTCCGCTCTGCTCTGGTGAGATCTCACCTGGAGTACTGTGTCCAGCTTTGGAGTCCCCAACTCATATGAACGTGGAACTGTTGAGGTCGGTCCAGAGGAGGACCACAAAAATGATCAGAGGGCTGGAGCACCTCTCCTACAAAGATAGGCTGAGAGAGTACCTGAAAGGTGCCTATAAGAAAGCTGGGGAAGAGCTGTTCACTAGGGCATGTAGCAATAGAAAGAGGGGTAATGGTTTTAAACTAGAGCAGGGTAGATTTAAATTAGACATTAGGAAGAAGTTCTTTACTATGAGAGTGGTGAAACACTGGAACAGGTTGCCCAGTGAGGTGGTGGACGTCTCATCCCTGGATACATTCAAGGTCAGGCTTGATGGGGCTCTGAACAACCTGATCTAGTTAAAGATGTCCCTGCTTACTGCAAGGAGGGTGTACTAGATGACTTTTAAAGGTCCCTTCAAGCTCAACACATTCTGTGAATCAAAGTAAATGTTTCACTCTATCAATTCTCTATCAAGAAAGAATACTCGCAAACAAGCAAGATGGTAGCATCAGTTTTGGGAAGATTCACTAATAAAATAATACTGATACACATATTCAATAAGCCGCCTATTTTCTGTTGCACTTAAAACCTGAAGCTAGGAATTGAGTTAGAGTCATAGAAGACAAACCAAATTACTTGCATTTTGACTGCTGAAAGCATACAGGTACACGCGTGCCTCAGTGAATGCATGGTGCATGCCTGTAAGCAGATATACATCATATTGATAGATGCTTATTCCAAATGAAAGTATTTTATCTTTCAAATCACCTCTCGTTTGCGTTGCTCCTTTTTAAGCTGTGCAATCTCTCTATTTCTTCTGGATTCAGTCATTCTAGCTTTCTCCTGCTCTTCTTTCATTTGTTTCATCAAGCGAACCTGTAAAGAGGTTATCACTTAGAAAAGTTGTTTACACTGAAGTGCTGTTCCCTGCCCCCACTCATATAGGGTTTCTTCTTCATATTGCCATCTTCCAGTATATGACATACTTTTAGCAATTAACCTCCTCCATCTAATGTGTCTTCTTCACTCAGTGCTGAACAATAGCTAATAAGTAGTGCAAGCTTCTCCCTCTTTGATACCGTAATTTCTGTTCATTAAACCTAAAAGCCAGCCCTCTCCCCCAGGAATGGCCTAGTCTTGATATTCTTTCTGTTTTCAGACTTTTGAGCAGCTGACAGCAAGAACAATTACCCGGTTGATAAATGCACAGGAGATTTCAACCCATTTTTCATTAAACACTCATTGTACAACAATATGCTGAAGTATACCTTGGTTTTCTTCATCTCTGTCACTTCCTGCTGCAGTTTCTTCAGTTGCTTTTCATATTGAGACTGATTTTTAAGCAATCGTGCGTGTTCCTTTTGTGCTGTTTGAAGCCTCTGCAGTTCCTTATTCATGGCTTGGAGTTTCTTTTCATATTCTGACTTGATTTTTTTTGCCTTTTCTTCTGAATAGGTCTCTACAGAACCTAGAGCAAAAGGGAGATCTTAGTCCGGTTTTGTTCAGGATATTTTCACTTTGCCAGCCACACCAGATAATTACTAAAAGCAGAGCAAGCAGTAATCTGCAATATCTTAGAAAAATTTCATGTCTCTAGGTCCTGTCACTTGCACTGCTTTGAACTTTCCACCCTCTGTATCTTCTTTGATAAGAGATAAACTCTTTCCTTCCATTTTTTTTTTGCACATGACAACAAATATTTGAGTACATGAAGACACAAATACACACAGCTCACACATATGTGCACAAGATCATAACAACAGTCTCAAGAGCCATCAAGTCCCTTTTCTGGCACTGATCAAAAGGGAAGATCTAAGGAACAATAAGTGAACAGCAAAAGCATATCAAATATGTAACTATAAACCATATATGGTATATTTTTCAAAACAAACAAACAAAACAGCTCCACCAGTACTCTTTTAAAGTTCAACTATTTGTGGCTTAGGACTTCCTGAGACAGCATTAGTTTTTCATCTCAATACGATTACATGTTCAAGTAAGTTCTGGCAGTAAAACATCTCTGCAAAGCCACCGATCCTACTTATTAATATGCAAATCAAAAGAAAGGGGAAGGGAGGAGTGGGAAAGTACTTTTAATACAGGAACTGTCTCAGGGACTAAGTTAAAATGAGAGCTCCTAGAAAACTGAAAATGCTTATTCAATCAAATCAAATACCTGTTAGTAGCAGTATCTTTTTAAAAAAAATCTCTCTCAAATCTGGTAGAAACTAGAATGAGTCAAGTATGATTCACTGGCATGATGGGCACAAACCTATTACTGTTTTCTGCAATTTTTTATCATATTTGAAAAAGGAAGAGAGGGAAGCAGCAAACAATTTAATTTGGATATCTTAGACAACATCTAGATTTAAATGATTTTGTAGTTCTTACCCAAGTTTTGAAGAACCTGATCCCTTTCAAGCTGAGTATCTCGAATCTTATGCTGTAGCATCATTAGTTTTTCTTCATACTGTTTTTTCAGTGTTTGCAACCTTCGCTGGCTGTTCTCTAGCTCATCTATCAGTTTCTGCTTAATGGCTATTTCACAAGTGATATTTGCCAAGTCAGCTTGATAATTTTCTGAAATAAAAAGATTTGCGTAATCAAAAATTAAGGCTTCTGTTAAAGTAACAGTGATAACAGCAATAGTAAAGTACAAGTCACATAACTATGAATACCTCCTGCAATGTTAGTGTCATTTCCTCATGTGCAAATCGTGCATAGGAGAATTCCACACAAAACAAAATGCAGCAAGCAAAACTATCAATTTATAGCAAAGTTTCTTCCTTAGACACTCTCCCCACCCTGGAACCGGGA